GCGCTCGGTGAGTAGTATGACCTTACCATCACGTTGTCGTGTTTCAATAGATCGCGCAGCACTGATAACTGCAGTGCATGAAATGATGCGCTCTTCGGCACTTACTGTATTCGCTTCGTCCCCAAGTAGGGGAAGCGCTTTGTTTCTTACAGGGATGTCTTTCTCCAGCCAGCTTGGGCCCTGCCACCATAGCGGATGCTCCAGCAGTTCGAGGGGTGATATGCCTCTACTCGCGCAGTCGGCGGGGTTCTGTGCCGACCGGATATGATGCCATCGATCGGGCGAAGTGAGCTCCTGGATCTGACGTACTCGATTCGATACATATGGCTTAAGCGTTGTTGGCTGTTTCTTTATCCAACAAAGAGCGATCGACGAATCCGACCACAAATAATAGGGGGCGTTCATCAACCCCAAAGCGCTTCTTACTGCTTGGAGTGTTTCTGCCAACAAGAGCGCTGCCGAGAGCTCGAGACGTGGTATGGTAGATCCCTTAAGTGGAGCCACCTTAGTGCGCGCTGTCAGCAATGCGAGTTGTACTCTTTCGCCTGCGCCTACAGTTCTTGTGTAAATCACTGCTGCGTAAGCTTGCGAACTAGCATCGCAGAAGCCGTGTAAAGTCGTTTGCACACCGGGCGCCATGCCTAACCATCGATTCACACGAACTTTGTTGAGTATCTCCAGCTTAGACCGATAGTTTATCCAATCGTCGCGAAGATCATCAGACAACGGTGCATCCCACGAAAGACCAGCGGACCACATTCGCTGTATAAACACCTTACCCTGGACCACCACCGGTGCCAAAAAGCCCGTGGGATCAAAAAGCTGAGCAACTTCGCTGAGAACCCGTCGTTTAGTTGGGGTAGGACCTGCTTGCTTGAGAACCACCTGGAAGACGAACTGGTCAGCGGCAGCATCCCACCGTAATCCAAGAACGGAAGCCGTAGGAGGGTTTATTTCTAAACCTGCGGAGGAAGAAATGTTACCGGTCAAGTATTCCATTACCTCAGCATCATTGGAGTTCCATTTCCTCAATGTAAATTTCCCAGCGGAGAGAATTTCATCAACATTGTGAGCTAAGACCTTAGCGTCGTTTGCGTTCTCACAACTGGTCAAAAAAATCGTCAACGTAAAATGACGTTAAAATGGTATCGCGCGCTTTCGCGGCTTGCCGGTGGTCCGATATTACGTTGTGATTGTCGCGTGCACATTGTTGGAGTGCACGTATGGCATTATACGGGCTGCACGCCATACCATACGTAACCGTTGTGAGTCGATATACCTTGAGTTCATCCGAGGGTGACTCACGCCAAAGGATCCGTTGGAAGTCTCGGTGTATGGGGGCAACGAGTACCTGCCGGAACATTTTCTCAATGTCGGCTGTTAGGGCCACCCTATAGCGTCGGAAACGTAAAATTATATTGATGAGCGAGTCTTGGATGGTCGGGCCCACTATTTGCAACTCATTTAGTGACACGCCAGTACTAGTTGGTGCCGATGCATTGAACACCACTCTAAATTTGTTGGTTACAGCGTGGTGGGGAATGTAGTAGCCGTTGGTGTGATCACCTACGTTATTTACGGGTTCCATATGGCCAAGACTTACGTACTCACGCATGAACTTAGTGTAATTATCTTTAAGCTCAGAGTCACCAACGAGACGTCTTTCTAGGCGTTGAAATAGGCGAAGGGCGTGCGCATATGATTCGCCAAGTCTCGGTGCATCGCGGCGGAACGGCAGCTGCACCATGTAACGTCCATCACTAGTACGGGAGTGTGTGGCTGCAAATATTCGACCACATTCATCATCATCGTCTGATGCACACACGGGGACCTCCTGAAGCTTCCAAAAATTGTGAACTAATTCTTCCAGCACCAAATCATCCTCGACTAGCTTTGCGCTGAGCACGAGAGATGAGTTCTCCTTCGACGAAACTTTTGACGCTGGACCAAAAACTACCCAACCAAGGCGAGTGCGTTGAGCATAAGGTTCATCTGGTCTGCCACCGATGATGTCACCCTCCACGATTCTACCCCAGGCATCAGCTCCAATGAGACAGTCTATAGCCCCAGGTGTACCAAAATATATATCGGCCATATCAAGGCCAGCCAGGTGTTGCCACTGGTTAACGTCTAAACGCACGGCAGGAGTGTCCGATGTGATTGACGGGATCACCAAAGCGTTGATTTTGGTTTCAAAGTTTGAATGCAATGACTTTATGGTTACAATAACACTACCCGTAGTTCGAGTACTAATACTCGATCCAATCCCCTCTACATTCAATTCGCATTTGTGTATTTTTAATCTCAATGATTTAGCTAAGCGATCTTTAATAAAACTAACCTGCGAACCTGGATCGCACAAAATTCGAACCAATCGTTGAACTGCTGCATTCCCATAGATGTATGCACGCGCTGTTGCCAACAGAATCGTAGGTCTGGCTTGGGCAACGCAGGTTGTCATTGGCGAGGTTAGTCATAAGTTTGGAGCAGGCTGGACAGCTTGCGGGGTAGCCTCGATGACCTTTGAGCTGGACTGGGAGCCTGAAGCTGCTACTCCTGTTTGGCTCTCGCGACAAAACAGCGTGTTATGCTGTCGACCGCAATTACGGCAACCACCAGAAGAACATTGTTTCGACGAATGTCCAGCCCTTAAGCAATTATAACAAAGCTTCGATCCCTTAACCGCCTCAAAACGTGCCCCGGGCGACATTGCTGCAAGGGTGGGACATCTCGTGATACGATGAATGCCATGGCAATGGGCACACTTCCCATCCACCGTGGAAACCACGTTAGATTTTACTGTTCGCGGCAATCGCACCGACTCAATGGATGTTTCCTGGCATAGGCTATGTGCTCTTTTTTCTAGAAATTTCAGCAAATCCTCCAACAGCGGTATCTCATGTGAAGAACAACGCATAGACCACTCGCGTTTCGTGATAGTAGGTAGCTTGGAGGTAACGATGGGAACTGCCAATGCATCCCATTTATCGACAGGCACCTCCATAACCCGCAACGCGCGTAGCGACTCGTGAACCGTGTCCACAATGGCAAGCAAAGACTTGGCCGATTCTTCTGTCGACAATTTTAAGTTAAGGAACCGCGTCACATGGATTTCTGCGAGTTGCTTTTTGTTATCATAACGGTCCTTTAACGCGCGCCAAACCTCCTCGTAGCCACCCGAATAAACACCACCTATGAGCGGGACCTCCTTTGAATTGACAGATTGCCGAAGCTTCCCTAATTTGAACGCTTCTGGATAGGAGGACTTGTGTACGAGAGTCTCAAATGCGTCCTTAAACGCAAGCCAATTACACATCCTCCCATCGAATACCGGAATCACCAGCGGGTCAATTTTCAGGTCGACAGAACGCCCATCCAACAGAGCGCTATGAGTGTTGAGCACGTGGTCGGTTGAGGCCGCAGCCGGAACCGACTTTGTGCTTGCTATCAGACGATTGAGGCGACAGCAAGCGTCGTCATATAACGCCTCAATTGCTTCCCATAAGGCGTCATGCGGTGCAACCTCATCCTTGGTAGCCTGGCCTACAAGATGATCGTGATTAAGAGTGAATCGCTGAAAGTGTGTTTCCAGTGATTTAAGCTCGTGCTCCAGTTGAAATACGTCGTGGGTTTCGCAGCTGGCTTCACACACCCGCGCATGTATGCGCTTGATTGCATTGACGGCCGCTGAGCGCCAGTTCAATTCCGCCATGTTCACCAAAATGAAACAAAAACAATATATACATATGTTCCTCACAGGAGGCACCAAAAAATGTTACAATGATGTTACCAATATA